ACCTTGCATGAGAAATTACTGGCATCTGAATGGTGTTCACTGAAAATGGTGAGTAGCACTGGGTTCCAGAACAGCTATATCAGGCATCGTTAATTCTTTGGGGAATATTTGTATTTAATAGAAAATACAAAATAGCATGTTTATTTTTGGTTTGCTTCACTTGGAAGTATTAATATTTCCAGAATTCACTAAAAAAGGTAGATTTATGTTTATACATAATGTTTTATTCCTATCATCTGAGTGATCAATTGATTTTTATTAGGGAGGGATTTTAAATGGTTCAGATATAATTCTAACTTTCTCTTACTATGTATTCAAAGAACAAAGCTCCAAACAAACGTATGTCCTTATTCTTTTTTCATTGAGATTCCATTCTCTCAAGTAATTATTTTCTTTCTTTCTCACATATTTTCACATCAACTCATGGTTATCAGCTAACATTAACAGAAATTAAGATACACTCACGTGCAAAAGGAGAAATGGCCCTTAAATAGATATAAGGACGCTATTAATAATTTGGTAATTAACATGATCTTTACGATAATTATTGGAGGCATACTAATGTGGTAACACAGAAACAAACAAAAAACCACAAGCCCGATTGCAACATATTATAAAGGCTAAAAGTAAGATTTGACTGAAGCTCTAAAGTTTTCAAATAAAGTATAGAAGAAAAACGGGTATTTAAGCCTTAAATAAAAGTACAAGGCAAATGAGATTTTTTTTCTATGAAGATATTTCATGTGGTTTTATTTCTATTTTGATTGTTTCTTATTTCTCATCATGATGTATCAAAAAGGTTGGCCTTTTCCAAGTTTAGGCAAGAGAGTCCCACTCATGATGCAGAAGAGGGGAAAGTGTTTAATTCTAAGGGCTTGTCCTATAGCAAACTATTTTCCGTTAACCTCTAGCACAGAGAGATGGAAGCTGGGAGGTAATGGCAATTTATCTAGGCACATTCTCTAAAAATAATGATCCAGTGTCTGCCTCACAGCCTAAACTTGTATAAAAAGCAGGAAGAAAAATGGATAGTAATGAAATGTTCACAGCGGATGACGTTCTGGTTCCTAGATGCAAAAGCTGAAATTTTCCAAAATTTAGCCAATAGGACAAATCTGTCTTTCAACAATCACCAAATATTTCTCTAATCCTCCAAAAGGAGAGTTGCAAAAGCTTATCTTAAATATTATACGAATATTTTTAAGAAAGGAACTTCCCCATCTCCTAACTTCTTCAACATAAATCAGACACCAAATCTAAATGCTTCTAGATCAGCCCTTACACAGAATGAGTTGACAACAAATCTACCTTAAATATAGTAGAAGAGTAAGGGCCATTAATTTCATTCTGTAATTTGTTAATAGAAAAAAACTATGATTTATGCAAATATATTATTGGCCTTAAAAATAAAAGGTTGAAACATACTATAAAGAAATCAAATTTCATAAAACTGTTATTTTAATACAAGAGCATTACATGAATCAGTTCAAGATGTAGATCTCATAGTAGAAAGTTTATCTGACGCAAAGTAGAAAGTTTATCTGACTCAAAGTCTTCAATTCAAATACAAAAGTATATTTATTCTGCATCAAATCCATAGTATAAGGAACAATCATCAATTTCCAGAACATATAGAAGTACACTAATTCTTGATTCAGATCAATTTATACTCTCTACAGACTAAATGCTTTTGCTTGATGACATTATAGAATTTTTTAAAATTAAGATTCTCCCAGGAATAAATATGCATTTTGGTTTATAATTTCCACAAGAAACAAACTCTGAAAATGATAACAAAATCATTACTATTTGATTTTTATAAAAAAAAAATTCAAAAATTTTTTTCTTAATCTAGCTGATTATCATTGTCACTAAAAACCAAACAAATCAGAGAATAATCACATTACGAACTATACAAAAAGAAAACAAAGAAAAAATAAAGCTACTTACAAACTTCCTCTTCTGGGGAGACTCAGCTCCTTCTGCAAAAGAAAAAAAAAAACATATAGGAGATGCTACATTAACCTTTGTCTACTAGGATACCAAATGTATAACATAAAATGTTCATAGTGCTTGATTTGGCATTTCCTAGAGTAAAAAGGTTTTAATATTATAATTTTATGCTGGATTCCTTCTTACACTGTTCTTTTTATATACCACGTTTAAGGTACAAACACAATTTATCTCAATTTCAGTGCACAGAAAACATCAATCTTCCCAAAGCAACCACAGTAAAATACTGAGTTGAGCTACATGGCCCTGTAATTGAGCATAAAGAAAATCTGAGGAAGCGAAAGACTTACCCAAACAGGAAAGAGATATAAGAAGTAGGAGAAATTTTGCAGGATTATATTTAAATGAAAGGTGAAATGAAAAGGGCACAGAGATCACACTATTTGCCCTCAACAGAAATAAATGCATGCAAAACACTGTGCATACCAAAGATCGTACTTCATTATTTTTTTTTAAAAGATAATGCAGAAGGTAGCCTTTTGGTAGTATTTCTCAAAACAAATGTTATTTATTACTTAGTATATTTAAAAGTGTGTTAATGAACCTCTAAAAGGTAAACAGACAGCCACAACAATTACTAGAGTATTTCAGTTTTACAAGGGCGCTCTCGCATGTATCTCGAATTAAGATCATTATCTACCTAATCATGGAGAAGCTGTGGAAAACCAAAAAAACCAACCAACCAAGCAAATAAGCCAACCAACTAAACAAACACAAATGAATTCAAAAACACTTCTACCCACTAATGAAGTTTTCAAAGACCGGCTACTCAAGAGTGATTACTTGATGACAATAATTAAAGAATAAGAAGCAACGAGTTACCTGGTTATTTCGACTCAAAATGAAGTGCACTATAAATTCAGAAGATTTGACTAGATTTAGTTATTCATTCCCATAATTCTATTTTTTGCTTTTCAGATGTTTGAGCATTATCTTTTTTTTTTTTTTTTTTGAGACAGACTCTCACTCTGTTGCCTGAGCTAGAGTGCCGTGGCGTCAGCCTAGCTCACAGCAACCTCAAACTCCTGGGCTCAAGCCATCCTCCTGCCTCAGCCTCCCGAGTAGCTGGGACTACAGGCATGCGCCACCATGCCTGGCTAATTTTTCTATATATTTTTAGTTGTTTGATTAATTTCTTTCTGTTTTTAGTAGAGACGGGGTCTCGCTCTTGTTCAGGCTGGATTCGAACTCCTGAGCTCAAACAATCCGCCCGCCTCGGCCTCCCAGAGAGCTAGGATTACAGGCGTGAGCCACCGCGCCCAGCTGAGCATTATCTTTTGAAAGGCATTTCCCATCAGCTTCAAACTCACCCCTATTTTTATCAGATCCTTAAATGTTCGTCACGGACAGAAGCCTGAGATATCACTTCCAAGCAGTGCTGTTTACTCCAGCACAGCTTGCAGAACACAGCCTTGAGAGCGTCAGACCAGAGGGGAGGGAAGCTCTGTGGCCTGCTGCTTTGAACAGAGGATGCTTTACTTATTAACTGGCAAACATATTTCCATACACAGTTATAATAATGATATAACTGTTTAAAAGCAAGATCAACCAACAGTTTTAGGAACAAAGTGTCTTCTTTCTCCCAATAGCTAACATTTTCTTTTCAAAGGCTGCAGGGTTCAGTGGTGAAGCGCTTTATTTTTTGTTGTTGTTTTGTTTCACTTTTTTCTTTAATCCTTGATTAGCCCCAAGAAATTACAGTGTTTGCTGAACTTGGCTCTCTGATTCTGAAACATAAATATACCTTCATTTACTAAAACCCCTAATAACAAGAGAAAAGTCTCTGACCAAGACAGTTTTCCTTGGGAATCAAAACATAAATAGAAGACCAATGAGTAATTTTCTATATGTGTATCTTTGGTGATGACGCACACTTAGAAATGAGTGTTATATTCAGGTTAAAAAAGGAAAAGGAAAAAAGCAAACTCCCTAGAACTAATAGGTCACCAGACTATTTCTTTTAGAAAGGAACTGAAACCCACTGCACAGCAAAAGGCCTAGAGCTCAAATGAGTAATACTGCTCTGTCCAACAGATCTGACAGTAGCATAAAAGGCACCTGAGACGTTACCGTTAATAACCAAAAAATCAGATGTTATTTCAACTATATATGCAAATAGATCACACAGAAGATGTAAGAGAGAAAGGGGCAAATGAATGACCCAAATAGTTCAATCAATCATATTCCACCAAATGACCTGACCATAACCCGGCTGCTTTGCTCTGAGAAAAAGCTGCTGAAACAGCAAGATAAGGGATAAAAACCAACTCTGTTTTTAATCAGAAGTCTTTCCAGTAGGTCTAGAATTATGAGTTCGAAACAAGGAGAAAGGTTACAGTGGGTAACCCAGCACTGCTGCTCCGTGGGACAGCAGCTGAGATTCCAAGACGAGGAGCAGAGGACATTTAATAGGCCACTGTCAACTGACCTGAAGCTACCACGCTAACCAAGCTGAAGGAGCTAATTCACCTGACGGCTTGAATGTCAGGCTCAGGACTGGAAACTCAATTTGGTAGCAAATTGGAATCAGATGTGATGGTAATAAAGTGAGAGAAATGAATGTGCCGTGGCCAAGACCTTGTGAACAGTAGCTGCAAAAGTCTGCAAATACCAGGAGGGCTAAGCAATTGCAGACGGAGCAGGGAGTAGCTACTGCCCTAATGCATGGGGACCACACGCTGATAAATCTGCACCGGTCAGATGTAAATGAACAGCATCAAGGCATTTTACTGCCAAAGCCCCTGCGGTACTTTGTGTATGTGTCCTCATTTTATTTTCTTAATGTCAGGATAAGGTCACTAACACATACTTAGATAATTAAATAAGACATGTGGTATTGGGCTGAGTCATAAACCAAAGCTTATGTTTGGTATATGGAGAACATGTGTTAAAAATTTAGTGTCAGGTAAGACTTAGAGGAGGCAAGAAAAAGGGAAAAGGAGAAAAAAGCATCCATCTGCACTAAACAATATGCTAATTATTATCACCAGATTAAAGAAATTCTTAGGACTATTTAAGAAGATTTAAAATATTTAAGATTTTCATTGATATTGATTACTCAGTGAATTAACATTTTTAGAGTTGCTGCTTATCATTACTTGCTTGACATTATATCCTTTGCCCCCTTTTCTGAAAGCGTTAAATCACAAATATTGGCATTGAAAATAAAGGTGAAGTAAAACTTATCTTGTCTGAGAACTGTGTTATTTTCTTGAGATCCCCTTGATAAGACTGAGGATACCAGAGTGTTCCTCCAATCCAGGAGGAGAACTCATGGAGCGACCAAGGAGACAGGAAAAACAAAACAGATGATTCTGCCCCTTGCCCCAGCCCTTGGCTTCTGAGAGAGAAAGGAACTGTTCATTCATGAAGACAGAAGAGAAAATGGTGGTGTTTTATGTGTACAAGCAATTTCCACAGTGGTAATTTAAAAAATATTTATAGTATTTAGTAAGTATTTAACACCTATAAATATACAAATAAAACAATAAGGCTACACATGCCATATATGTTTGGAGAATCTCTGAGCTATTCTTTTTAACTGATAGGTAAATTTATGTTTTAAAAGAGGATATTTACAGAAGTCCAAATAATATATGTAGATACCCCGGCATCCCAGTGATGGAGCTTAAGGCTCCTCCCCTTCAGAGTGGCTGGGGCTTTGTGACTTACTTCAACAGAACAGAATAAGGAAAAGGAACAATAGCAACATTGTAGTAAAGAAACCTGCAAACACCACGATAACCAAGAGATCAAGGTTAGCATCACCTGTGGTAAGTTACGCAGACAGCGGGCAACCCTCTAACGTAATGTGATGAGAAGGACACCCCACCCTGTGGGATTCTCCCTAAAAACACATAACTGCAGTCTAATCGTGAAAAAACATATGGCAAACCCAAATGGAGGGACAGCCTAAAGACATTTGACCAGTACTCTTTAAAACTGTCAAGGCTGTGAAAAACAAGGAAAAACTGAGAAACTGTCAAAGATCAGAGGAGACTAAGGAGACACGACGACTAAATGCAATGTAGAATCTTCGACGGGATTCTCCCCATCAGAAAAAGAACATTAGTGGAGTTTGTAGTTTAACTGATAGTAATATACCAATGTTAATTTCATAATTTTAACAAATCTATTAAGGTTATATAAGATGTTAACATTAGGAGAAACTAGGTGAAGAATATACAGGAATTCTCTGAACTATTTTACAATTTTTCTGTAAATCTAAAATTATTCCAACATTTTTTAAAAAGTATATCAAAAGGGGGAGACAGGGAGAAAGGAAGACTGGTATATGGGAGGGTGGAAAACGGAAGAGATGAACAAATGAATATCTAAATATTCTAAGCTTTTTTTAAAGCACTATTTAATACCAATTTTTTAGGAGGCTATAGAAATAGTCTGAAGAAGATCGTGGCTAGGACCAGCAGTGAAGATGGTGAGAAGTAGTCAGATCTGAGCAGTGTTTTCATATAATTTACAAAAGAACTGGAAGTGAAGGGTAAAAGAGAAAACAAGGAGTCAAAAGTTTTTGGCCTGAACAAACGGAGTTTGAGGGAAGAAAAGCTCAGTTTGGACAAGTTGCATCCAAGATGTCTGTAAGAACTCCAAGCAGAAATTTCCAAACAGGCAAGTGGATATATGAATCTGAGCTCAGGAAAAGGTCAGGGCTGGAGCTAGATTCTGTAGTCATCATTACATAAGATGGTATGTAAAGCCGTGGGACTGGATGAGACAGGACAGGACAGATAGAAAAAGGAGAAGAGACACACCAGGATACGGGGCAGGGGCACTTCATGATTTAACACAGAGAAGTGGGGAGGACAGGTAACTGACATACTGCACTAAGCAGCAGCTGGGGGTCTTCAAAACAGCAGAAACTGAACGAGCCTGGCAAGTAAACAACCTACCTGCTGGACAGCTACCAGCACTCTTGAAGTCGACAGGATGGTTTGGCAGACAAGGTCAGCAAGTGGGCAGGAACCAAAAGATGAAACCCCAGCTACGTCCAGGGAACACCCAGCTAGGACATTTCTGCAGCTGAACACTCCCTAGGAGCACGGCCTCCAGGAAGGATATCTGTCCCCAGAACCTCTACTTCATCTCTCCTGGCAGGTTCCCTGTGAGTGTCAGCATGACCACACCTGGGTCTCTGCCCCAGCTGCTAAGCAGGCAGGAAAAGGGAACATTAACTCTCTTCACTAGCACAGCAGGAGGCAGGGCCAAGTCTACAAAGATTCACACTCTGGGAGTTCCTCCAAAAAAAAGAAAGGGGATTGGGAAATTGGGCAACTTGCCAAACTGACACCTGCCCGCACCCCCAACCCCCCCCCCACCCCAACCCTCCAACTCGGCTGCCCTCATCAAACCCCGCAAACAAATATTAATAGAATGGCAACATCCAGCACACATCATTTCCTCACCACTTTCCAGAAACCAGTAGATTTAAAGTACATGTGCTTTCCCCATTGTCATCTCTCCTTAATTAGTCATCGGTGGCCTTATCCCATCATTCGGGTTTACAACAAGTACTCTGCACTAACAAACTATTAATTTAGGGAAAGAGTTCAAAGAGCTGAGATGTGCAAGGCAGTCTATCAGGTGCTGTTTGGGACACATGAGAAAAAACAAAACATTTGTAAAAGCTAGTTGGGGAGACATACACACACACACATAGAAAACATGAGATATCACCAGGTGCAAGATTATGCAGTATTCCTTGAATGTGTAAATGCTAACAGGGGACAGAAAATAAAAGGGGATGAGATAATTCAGCTCAAGCAGTGGCTCTGAAGCCTGGCTACACATTAATGTTACCCAGGGAGCGTTTAAAAATACCAATGCCTAAGCCCTGCCCCTAAAGATCTAAAGAGAGAGAGTTGTTTGTATAAGTTGTTTATTAGAGGTTAGTACTTTTAAGTCCCCTTAAGGACTATTAGTTTACATAAGCCATTTGCCTTTGGATTTTTCTTTAGGGAATGTTAATTTTCTAGGCTGTCATTACAGTATTGAAGTTTTAGGTTTTTAGTTATTTCCTTTGCAAGCGGGAAGGTGTTGTGGAGCAAGGAAAGGTACCCGAAATGGAACTCTCCCTACCTGATAGGGTACAAAATTAGCTGTAGGTAGAGGCTTGTCCAGGGATGGGTTCTCCTAAAGAAATTCTTGAGGCTGCAGTTTTCTGGCCTCCATTTTTGAGAGTACTTGTGAAGGCAGAAGGAGAAGACGGAAAAGTTCATACCATGTAAACAGATCTTACGTGAAAACCTGGTTCTGAATTAGAGCAGAAAGCAAAACTGGATTATATTCAAACAACTCTTGAAAACTCTAATAAGCTGCCCATGAAGTACATGGTTTTCTGCACGAAGAAAGCAAAGCTGGAAGATCAGTAGGTAGATCTCTATAGAAATGCTTGAACATTCAAACCACTCAACCTGTAAAACACCAGTAAAATCCTACTGGGAAATATCAGATGGGTGGAGAATCCTAAAGAATCTCTCCCTTCTGCGCAGGCTTTATTGCCTTCTATTTTTATATCTCTAGCCATAATGTACTTGAATATATTTGTGCTATTAAACAAAATAAACCATAAGAAGTTCACACAAAATGTTTGCTGGACTTTCATACAAATTTTACGTGATTGAAACCACGTACTTGCTTTCTTTGAAAAATAAAGTAGCTACCTTCTTCCTTTCTAAGTTTTAGGCTTTTTCTGCCACAAACCCAAATCATCCTCAAGACTTTGGTCTCATACACCCGTTACATAGACAAAGTCTCTGAGTCATGATATGGGTCTATTTTGGTTTTGCAAGATCTTATCATAAACTGAGTCTATGAGCTTCATCACAAAATCATATGTCTGCCTAGGCAGGATACTCAAGTCTTCCCATGCAAAGCCCAGAAGAGATTAGCAATGGACCATAATCTCAAAGCCAAGAGATGGTGCAATCAAAATTTAGACCTATATCATCCAGTTCCAACCGTGTTCCCCTCAACTCCACTGTGAAAATGTTAGAGTGGGACAGACTGAGAAAAGGGGTCTGAATGAATACACAAGCAGGGAGGGCTGGCACTGATAATATAAAAAGAGGGCACCTTTTCCCCTAAAGAAGAAGGAAAATATAGGTGAAAATAGGTACCTTTTAAAGAAGAACAAAATAAAACTAATGCAATCCACTTGGAGTTGTGTAACTTCAGAAACACCGAAGGCAAAAGTCTTCTGCCAAGGGTAAAGGCAAGGGCACGTGTGGGGATTAAAGCAAGCAAAATGGGTTTCCTTTATGCAATCCCACACTTTTTAGCGAAGGCGGATATGGCTGGTGCTGTGCCAGGCACCGGGATAAAGGACTTTACTCGCTGTGAAATACAGTGTGAAAAGGCCTGGAATAGAGGTCTTTTCAAAGTATGCAATACTACTAAGGGGGGAGGGTCAGGACTGTTTCTCCCCAATGATGTTTCCTGTTATTCATGACAACAAAATCTGGTGGAACTGACACTATTCTCAACCTCAAGGCTAAGCTCTGATTAAGTTAAACTAATGACAAAGCTCATTGCCTTGGTCAAGTAATTGGTTCATAAATGACGTGTGACCCAATCTGGGCAAATATGATGCAAAATGATGTTTGCTCAGAGCTCCAGGGAAAGAACTTCCTCCTTTGTTCAAGAGACCTAACAGGAAAGATGAAACATTAACCCCAGGAAGCTAACGGCGGCTGCCACCAAGATAGGTATCAAAGGTGGCAGGGAAAAAAGACAGGTAGAAACTGGGTCTTGGGAGATGTGTCCGAACAATGGATCTAACCTTGCATATGTCTGGACTTCTCAGGTACATGAACCAATCACATCCCTGTATTGTTTAAACCAGTTTAACTTGTGTTTTCTGTTCCTCGCGATCCAAAAATTCCTACGTGACACAATACTTGAGCCCGGTCTTTCTTTTGCAATGTCTGGGAATTAGCCAGACAGCCCCAGGAGTGGGTGAGGAACGAGGCATTCCAGAAGGGGGAACGGATGCAGCAAGGAAGGTGCAGTGAAACAGTGCACAACTCCTAGCAAACTCGGTATGGCCAGAACTGAGGGCAGAAAGGAAAAACCAAAAGGAGCAGGGAGGCAGAAACAAGACCAATCAGAGAGGGTTTTGGAAGAGTCTGTCTTTATCCTACAGGCAATGTAGAGCTCATGGAACATTTTTAACAGGAGAATAAGATGGTCAAATCGACATGCTAAAAAAGAGTCACTCTGGGCCGGGCGCGGTGGCTCACACCTGTAATCCTAGCTCTCTGGGAGGCCAAGGCGGGCGGATTGTTTGAGCTCAGGAGTTCGAGACCAGCCTGAGCAAGAGCGAGACCCCGTCTCTACTAAAAATAGAAAGAAATTAATCGGACAACTAAAAATATATAGAAAAAATTAGCCGGGCATGGTGGCGCATGCCTGAGTCCCAGCTACTCGGGAGGCTGAGGCAGAAGGATCGCTTGAGCCCAGGAGTGTGAGGTTGCTGTGAGCTAGGCTGACGCCACGGCACTTACTCTAGCCCAGGCAACAGAGTGAGACTCTGTCTCAAAAAAAAGAAAAAAAAAAAAGAGTCACTCTGGCAGTAGGGTGTCAAGTGGCTCATAGGAAAGGAGTTCGGAGGCACATTCAACCCTCCAGGAAGCATAGCTCAGGGCCAGGACAGAGAGGGGCAGTGAGAAGGGGAAGGAGGGGCCGATTCAAAAAGGAAGTGTGTGTATAGGGTCCACAAGAGTTGAGAAGAAATGCTTAACTTCTAGGAGGGTTTAGAACAGCCTTGGTTTAGAACAGCTCAGGGCAGGGTGCCTCATCCCTGCCAGAGATTAGGAAAAAGGGTTGTCCAAATGCACTGAAGGCCTTTCAGAAATTAAATACATAACAGAAATCTGAAAGGGAATGAGGGGATGGCAAAACCATTTAAGTTAGACCAGAGGGTCCCTGATGGGCAGAAATATGCGATAAAGTTGCAAACTAAGATAAGAGTAAAGGTCGGCATCCCAGGTCTTAACTTGGACGAAAAGCTAAACATCAATCATAACAAACCCCTTTTCTACCTTAAAATTTCTACACAGATGGTGGGAATGGTTTGCCTTTACTAAACTCATCTACTTTCATCAGCTTAATAATGGTATCTAACATTTACTGCATGGCAACATACATTATCTTATTTAAATCTTCACTATTATTCCCATTTTACAGATGAAAGAATTGAGTCACTGACAGGTTAAGTAACTCACACAAGGTCACAGAGCTTGTCTTTGAATCCACATCTGCCTGAGTCCAGAGTCCTTTAATTATTTTTCATCACCAAATAATGACTTGGTGTATTTCCGCCATGGACCCCCTTATGTAGGGTATCAAGCTACATGCATAGTTGGTAACACACTGACTGCCAATTACTCTTAGAAAGGAGAGATACAACACAGATCTTGGCAGCTCTTTCCAAGCAAATTTCACACTTAAATTATTTTTATAGACTGATTTCATTTGAAGCAAAGCCCTCGAAATACATCACTTTTAACACAGACCTTTTAAAGTTGAAAAAGCGTAACAAGTCAAATAATCAGCTAACCCCAACTAAATGAGCAAATGAAACAAGCTTCCTTTCTAGCCAATTACTATGCTTTTTGATGCTTCTTAACATGTTATACCCTCGACGTCAAAAAAATCAAGCTTGGGAAGCAGACATTGTATATATACTGTCTTCCAAGCTAGTATTACCTAAGGGAAATTTGCCTCCTAAGTCAAAGTTTAATACGAATAACAGCTCCAGTTTATTGAGTGTTTACTGCATACTAAGTGAAATGCATTTATCTCAAGGGTAATAGCTTCCAGCCTATAGTCCTACTGTATTTTGTGTGCTCACTTTGTTCTCAAGGAACAAAAGAACTATCCCTTTCAAGTGAAAGTTTCTGTGTCTTTTTTG